ACGACCCGAGGAGCGGCGGGAAAGATTTCTTTGAGGCGGTCGCTCTGTGACAGAAGATTGTAATTTTTGCTCAATATGTTGTTGATGTTTGGAAGATTGCCTGTATACGTTAAAATAAGGTTAGACTGTCTGCTTTCGTGAGGACGCTCTATTCGGTTGCCAATGATGTCTGAGCGGTCGAGGTTTCTTGCCTTGTTTATAGCGTCATCGATTACATTTGCTGGATACCTCTGCTGGGTTAGTACGCGTTTCAGTTCCTGAGCGTTTTGTTCAAAGTCGTTGTTGTCTGAGCATATGCGCTTAAATCTGTGCGCCTGAGAGTACGGCAGACTAGTCTTACAGTGTCGAGGATGGCAGCTGTTAAAATGGAGGTATTGTTGTCTATCGGTAGGTTGTCTGTAAAGTTTCGTACTTAATTTGTTATTGGCAATTTCCACAGTTACATCCAGGAAGTTTATGCACTTTTTTGATACGGAGTGAGTAAATTTTATCGATGAGTGAGCTATATTGATGGCGGCGATAAATTTCACGAGTTCGTCCTCAGCACCGGCCCAGATCATGAATATGTCGTCGATGTATCTTGTGTAAAACAGCGGTTGAGTGGGGCGTTCAGCGAGAAAGGTGGTTTCCAGTTGTGACATAAATATGTTAGCGTAATTTGGCGCCATCTTAGTTCCCATGGCGGTTCCATTGGTCTGCAGGAAGTGCCTATTCTCAAATTCAAAGTGATTGTTCTCCAAAACCAGTTTCATCAGAATTGAGAGGACGTCCCCCTCGATGTTAAGTGTGTGCTGAGCGTGTTCATACGCTTCGATCACTGCCGCAATTCCGTCTCTGTGGGGTATATTTGTATATAGGGAAACCACATCAAGGGTTACGAGAAAAGCGTTATCCGGAATGTCTAGTGGGGAAATTTTCTGCAGGAAGTGGCTGGTGTCCTTAACAAACGAAGAAAAGGTTGGAGGAATGTCCTTGATCAGTGTATCGACAAGACTCGAGATACGTTCGGTGACTGTGCCTATTCCTGACACTATGGGTCGCCCAGGGTTGTTGATCTTGTGTATTTTAGGAAGGAGATAAAAGCGACCGGGCTTGGAGTGGGATGGTTTTATGGCGTTAAAAACCTCCTTGGTTATTTTGCCACTTTTCTTTAGAACTACTAATTCCTTTATGATGGCCGTTTCAAGCCTTTGTGTGGGGTCTGTCGGTAGTTCGCGGTAAAATGATGCGTCATTCAATGGTGGTCACATGTGTCCTATTTCTGGTTTGAAGACGAGCCACCCCTTCCCAACCCAAGACTTTCAAACACTTTTTATTTTTATTTTTTTATTTTTTTTGCGCGCGAGCGTAAATAATCTTTGTTCGCAAACCGATTATTTTTTCTTTTTATACATTTGCAAGTTTTGGTGCCCTTTCCTCTCTGTGTAAACTATCTGTTTTGTCAACGCTGTTTCCTTCCCCAACTGCACTTTACTCCCTCTAATTTCTTCTTAGGGGTATATAAACATTCGCGGGCTGTACACTCGCTACCTGATGAAGAGCGGTCCCCGCTCGAAACGTCGTAATAAACTTCGAATTAGTAACTCCGACAGTACGTATCTTTCACTTTATATATATATATATATATATATATATATATATATATATATTGTTGCGGGCGTCTCAGTTCATGGGCTAAACGGGCAACCCAGAATTCAGTCCCCCATTCTCCACACGACCTCGTCTTCTTCTCTTCTTTTTCTTCCTTTTCCTTGTCCGTTACACTCGCCCCTCCCCGTTCGGAAGTCCGTCCCGGACGATGCTAAGATAGTCACCACGTGTGACGTAAAGTTTCAGATGGCTTGAATGGGCTGTCAAAGTGCGGCGTCGCCCACGCTGAGGCAGGCTGTCAAGGTGTTCGAGACGGTATGTTACGGGTCCAAGTTGCCAGCTAATCTTGAAAGGTCCACAGTACCTGGGCAAAAGCTTTTCCGAGTGCTGTGGACATCTTAGGTTCCTTCGAAGAAGCACCACATCACCTGGTGAAAACGACGGCAATGAGGTTTCCCTGTTGTGACGTTCGGCCAACTTTGATTGCTTATTTAGAATAGCCAGCCGAGCCAGTTTTCTGGCTTCACTTAGTCGTTCAGCGAAGTTCTCTTCATACTCTCGCGCCCGACGGGTCCACGCAGCGCCCATCGATGATTCCTGCGGAAGCGTCGGGAGTCTTCCGTAAACAAGCTCAAATGGAGATTTGGCGGTCACTTCCTGTTGTGAAGTGTTCAAAGCGAACGCCGCTGTACCAATGAATGTGTCCCAGTTCTTGTGAGATTTATTGACGAACGCAGCTAATATATCTCCAATGCTGCGGTTGGTGCGCTCTACTAGGCCATTCGTTTGAGGATGGTAGGGTGAAGCGGCCGCATGTTCAATTCCGTAATCTCGCAGAGCACAACTGAAAGTATGGGACATAAATGACGTTCCCCTGTCAGATATTATCCGGCGGGGTGTGCCATGCCTCAATACAAGGTGTTTGTTGACGAAGGCGACGAGATGCACAGCTGAAGTGTCGGGGACCGCCTCCACTTCGACCCACTTCGTCAGGTAGTCTGTTGCGACAATGACGTACTTGTTTCCATCATCAGATTTTGGAAAGGGCCCCAGGTGATCGATTCCAACTACCTCAAACGGGCTGCCTGGAGGTGGTATTTGCTGTAGTTCGATCTTCGCCGGGTGCGGTGGTGTTTTCCGCAGTTGGCATGTTGCGCAAGACGCGACGTACTGTCGGACATCCGTCCTGAGGTGCGGCCACCAAAATCTCTTGGCGACTTTGTCGAGCGTCCGGTGTTGCCCGAGGTGACCTGCAGTTGGAGCATAGTGGCACATCTCAAGAACGTTCCGACGCATTTTGGGGGGAACTACGGGGAGCCACGCTCCTGAGGGATGTGCTCGATGACACAGCAGACCGTCCCGAAGCTGGTAGTACGCTCGTAGACGCCGTAAGCGACGTTCTGAAAGTCGCGGTCTCCCGTTCACTTCGTCAGAAAGCAACTGGATTATGTTGTATGTGTCACATTCTTCTGCTTGCGCTGACTGCAAATCTAGGAGTGCGAGTACAGGAGCAACTCTGGCGTCTTCGATGGGGTGCCGTGAGAGGAAGTCGGCGTCTTGGTGCTGTTTCCCACTTCTATGAACGATCGAGAAGTCCAACTCTTGCAGTTTCATTGCCCACCGAGTCAATTTTGGAGTTAGATCGTTTTTTGACTGAAGCCAACGGAGAGCAGAGTTATCTGTCACGACTGTAAAATGCTTGCCGTAGATGTATGGACGGAACTTTTCCACTGCCCAAACAACAGCGAGGCACTCGAGTTCTGAAGAATGGCATCGACTTTCTGGTTCGCTAAGTTTGCGGCTTGCGTATAATACGGGTTGTTCTACTCCTGCATTGTCTCTCTGGAGAAGAACAGCGCCAAGCCCTTCGCCACTGGCATCAGTGTGAATGAACGTCGGTGCTTCTTCTGAAAAATGAGCCAGGGTTGGTGGTTCAAGAAGTGCTCTTTTGATATCAGCAAAAGAAGCTTGTTCTTTTGCGGACCAACGCCACTTGGTGTCTTTTTTAAGAAGCTCAGTCAGTGGAGCAGCTCTTAGAGAGAAGTTTCTTACAAATCGACGAAAATAGGAAGCAAAGCCTAAAAAGCTTTTCAACTGCTTTGTGGTAGTAGGCTCAGGAATATTGGCTAGCGCTGCCAGCTTCGTTGGATCCGGGCGAATACCCTCTTTGTTGACAACATGCCCTAAGTAAATGACTGTGTCGCATCCGAAGAAGCATTTCGATGGTTTCAGACGGAGATGCGCATTGGTGAGGGCATTCAGCACTAGACGCAGACGGTGCTGGTGTTCTTCAAAAGTGTCAGCGTATACGATGACATCATCAAGATAAACTAACGCCATCGTCCACTTCAGGTGTCCAAGCACCCTATCCATAAGGCGTTGGAAGGTCGCAGGTGCATTGCAGAGTCCGAATGGAAGACGGTTAAACTGGAACAATCCGTCAGGAGTCACAAAGGCAGTTTTTTCGGAATCTTTCGGCTCCAGCTCCACTTGCCAATATCCGGACATGAGATCCAGAGTAGTAAAGTAGCTGGCACCATGAAGGCGATCAAGGGCATCATCAAGTCGTGGCAAAGGATACACGTCTGGTTTTGTTATGCTGTTAAGTTTCCGGTAGTCCACGCAGAATCTTGTAGAACCGTCTTTTTTCCTAACCAGGACAACTGGTGACGACCAAGGACTGTTGGAGCTAGTTATAATGTCCCTTTTAAGCATGTCGTCTACCTGGTGGTTTATCTCCTCCCGTTCTCTCATCGAAACACGTCTTGGATTGTGATGTACTGGAGCGTGATCACCAGTATTGATGGTGTGGCGCACAAGTGGTGTGCACCCTAGCTCTTCTGGTGTAATAGCAATGCACTGCCGAAAGTCCAAGAGCAGTTCTTGTATCTGTGCCTTTTGTTGTTCTGTTAAGTTGTGGCCGAAATTAAATTCCGACCATGGAAGGTCACTAGCTTTTTCAAGGCAATCTTGCGGGACAGACATTGCTGGTGCCGCACTAATTGTTGCGACAGTGGCATGTGACAGGGCAAATGTCACAGGTCCGAAGTCTTCACCGGATTTCAGGAGCAGGTCACCATTCGTCAGGTTTAAAACTGGAAGCATCAAACTCCCCTTCTCGCAGGAAACAAGGCAGCGAGGTATAGCGAACTCCATCCCAGGACGAGATTGTAGCAGTGATTCAACTAGGATATCTCTTGACGTCATTGAACCTGGAATTATTGCTGTAGCCCAAACTGCAGATAACTTAGGTACAACAATGTCCGATGCTGCGACCATACGGAAGACCTTCTGTGGTTTTCGATTGACCATCGGTGCCATTAGTGTAGACATAAATGTCGTAGCAGTTGCGACGGTAGAACACACTTGGGCTGCCGCGGTCTTCGTCAGGTTTTTCAAGCTGGACCACGCTAGGATAAATCCATCGAATAAGTTCTCAAAATTCCAGGAAATTGCTTCTTTGCTTCCCCCGCTATCTCCTTGGGGCAACTCTGTCGCAGAACAACTGGACTGATCGCCAGTGCTGAAAGTTGGTACGGCTGACAAACAATGTTCACCTCCTCGAAACGATAGGGAGAGTTGGACGTTTGAACACCAGTCACGGCCGAGTATCATTGACCATTGTAGCTTGCGCACAATTACAAAGGGGAGGTTGACTGTTGTTCCTAAAGTTTCTACAGTCAACGAGATCTGTCCTTCTTGTTCGATTGTAGAACCGTCGGCTGATATAAGACAGACGGTACCAGGAAGTGTCTTGGGCGTGGTACACTTTGCTGATTGCAGTAATGCATAATCGATTAGACTTACTGCAGCTCCGGTGTCCACGATAGCATTCACATGTTGTCCCAACTCATGAAGATGAACTGAAAGACATGGCGTTGGCGAGGTGCGCACTGGCGTTGTCACCAGAGGAACATGATGCACTACATGAGACTCAACCTTGCCAGGCTCACTGTCACTTGAAACGTTTGGCGTTGGGATAGGTTGCATTTTGCACGGGGCCAAGTGATTTGGGCGGGATCGAGCTAAGTGCCCAATGTCACCACACGTGAAGCAACGCCGTTTACTTGAACGTACCGGAGAAGATCGGTGAGCCACCCGTGAAAGCTTGATTCCAGATGTCGACACCATGTCCATTGCTTTGTTGGCTGCTTGAACTTCGAGTGCGCGAGCCAGTGCTGCACGAGTCGTGGTTGGGTGGGCGAGTCGCACAAGAAGCTGGATGTCGGTGTCTTCGATTGCGTCGATGAAAGCAGTGGTTGCTATCTGCTCCAAGTCGACTTCCGTACATCCAACGAGCGCTCTTCTCGCCATCCTCTGGATTACGTCAGCTAGCTCCTGGAGTGTGTCCGTGCCTTGGCGGTGGTGCTTTAAAGCAGTCAGGTGAAATTGCTGGAGATGTTCATCACCAAAGCGGGACTTTAGAGCTTCTATGAGTAGTTGATATGAGGAACGACTTGTGGCAGACATGCTCTCCAAACATTCAGCAGCGTTCCCCCTTAACTGGGCCACCATTGCACGAGCTCTGGACGTTGAGTCGAACCCGTAAAAGTCCGCAACCGTTTCGAATTGGATGATAAAGGCTTGCCATGACGACTGCCCATCGAATGTCGGCAGCTTGAGTGGCGGTCCGTGGTGCACAGGCAGTCGAATTCGAGATTCCACGGACGAAAGGCCGTCATTGAGGCGTTGCCCTACATCGGCAACCTGACGTTCGACTGCAGATTCCAGCAGAGACAGACGGGTTGCGAGGCAATCGTCGAGGGTTCCAAGCGGGTTTACAATGTCCGTAGCACTCCTTTCGGCGAGCAGATTAGCTAACCGCTCCGTGATTTGCGTCGCCGCGGAAGTTGAGATGACGCCACTTGCCTCCGATTGGGTTGCCATTTCGTAATCCCACCGCTGCCACCAAATGTTGCGGGCGTCTCAGTTCATGGGCTAAACGGGCAACCCAGAATTCAGTCCCCCATTCTCCACACGACCTCGTCTTCTTCTCTTCTTTTTCTTCCTTTTCCTTGTCCGTTACAATATATATATATATATATATATATATATATATATATATATATATATATATATATATATATATATATATACGGTAAGAAGGTTCAACGGGCCGGTTGGACGTAAGAAGAAGAGGACATTTCACAACCATTCACCCTGAAGAAAAGCGGTCCCCGCTTGAAACGTCGGTGCAGTAGAGAAAGGCCTTTCCTGGATCTCCTCCACTTTCGTTATATATATATATATATATATATATATATATATATATATATGTAAAATTTAATGAAAAATAAAATTTAGCCATATTTTATTATTCTTGTATATTTTTTCAATTTACATTTTTATATCTATTTTTATTGTATTACCTTTCTATTGGAATAATTTGCCTTTCCCCTTTTTGTTACATGTTCTGTAGAAACGGTCGAACGCATACCCAGGCATTGGGATCGCGAAGACGGTGATTTTCGCTGGTTGGGTTCATCCTGTCTCTCTTTCTTATCTGGCCCATCGACCCTTGTGCTGTTTTAAGTTTTGATATATTTAACATAGAGGTCATGCATAGTAAGCATCGTTTACTAAATACTATACACAAATGTTGCTATGGTTGGGATATTGACTAGTGTTAGTTTTTTAACTAAAAATACAACAAAAATGGGTGTGATATTAATTTGAATATTTAACAAAATTAATACGTAGCCATAATTGAGGCTCCTTGATTCAAAAATAATATTTGTCTTTCTGATAACTTTTATAATATTTACCCACCATTTTATCTTTCTATGGGTCTATACTCGTTTTTTTTTTTTGTTTCTGTTTTGTATAGAACCCTTTAAATGAACACTAAGGCAGCCGAATCGGTGTATGTGTATATGCGTGTGTATGTGTTTGTGGGTGCATGCGTATGTGTGTATTTAGGCGAACGTGCAAAAGTGGTAACTGCCGTAGGCCTTAGCTTCACTTCAGAGTAGTGTATTATACATGTTCATTCCGAAATACTGTTAGCGTCTAGTCCTATACCTTGACTATTGATTGGCATCTTTTAGTTTTGTGTATTATATCCCATATCAAATTTAATTTATGTCAAATGTACAATTTAGTAAAACGAAACGTTTATATTTTTATTTAGATCTTGACTTTTATAATTATGCCAATCATAATAAGTTTCTGTTCAGTTATTTTAATTTTTGATTTTTCTATTTTATGAAGATTTTGTTTAACAAGTAATCAGGTAACAAAATAAGAAACATTGTAGTTTTCGCACTTTTTCTTTACATGCAATCCCCTAGTGTGCGCTAAATATGAATATAAGTCTTACAGTTTTACACGTGCGACTTTATTTAAAAATACATTTCACAAAACTGCGTCTCAGAAAATGACTTCAAGTTTCGTACGATACGTTGTTGGGCTAGTTGGTTCATCTTTGTACAAGATAAAATAGCGCAAAAAAGACAAAGGCAAGAAGTATGCAGGACAGGCGCCTGTCCTGTATACTTCTTGCCCTTGTCTTTTTTGCGCTACTTTATATGCGTTACTAAGACTTCGAGAACACCGCTCTGAAGCAATAATATTCCGTTTCACGCAGCGCCGCTGCCAGCCACACGCCCATTCAATAAATTGAAGCTGTGTGGGCTTATGGTAGAGCGCTGTGCAAAGAAATACATATGTCTTTGATGATATCTACACTCCTACTGCGAAACATTTGGGGATAATAAATAAAACAGAAATGCCAGCCAATAGTCCAGGTAGAGGATTAAACGCGGATGGTATTTAGCAAGCGAAATTGATAACGCATCACGTTACAGTGAAGTTAACACGCCGAAATTACCACTTTTACACATAGCCACGCCAACGCCAATTGGGGTGCCTTGGTGTTTATTTGATATCGTCTACAAAAGTTTAAAAAAAGCGGATTCTGGATTTAAATAATAGAACTGTAAAGTGAAGGGTAAATTTAAAAAAAATACAATGCACACAAATGTTATTTTCGCAGAAAGCAGACTTCAATGATGAATAAATTTTATATTTTATAAATTTTAAATCAATATAAAATTGTTCAAAAAAAGAACACAAGTGAACATTCCAGGAACAGGACCATCTGTGTATAGCGTATGCAAAACGGTATTATTATGCGTAACCACGATGTGAACCCAATCAGTGGAAACCACTTGTTGCTCGATTCCAGTGCCTGGATATGGGTTCGACCGCACCTGCAAGAAGTACATCGAAAAGGGGAAGGCGAAGAAATGCGATCAACAATATTTATAATAATATTTAAAACAAATGTCCCTTTCACAAGCACTCACTCACTCACTCACTCACTCACTCACTCACTCACTCACTCACTCACTCACTCACTCACTCACTCACCCACTCACTCACTCACTCACTCCTCCACTCACTTACTCACTCACTCACTCACCCACTCACTCACCCACTCACCCTCCCACTCACTCACCCACTCACCCACTCACTCACTCACCCACTCACTCACTCACCCACCCACTCACTCACTCACTCACTCACTCACTCACTCACTCACCCACCCACCCACCCACTCACTCACCCACCCACTCACCCACCCACTCACCCACTCACCCACTCACCCACTCACTCACCCACCAACTCACCCACTCACTCACCCACTCACTCACTCACCCACTCACTCACTCACTCACTCACTCACTCACTCACTCACTCACTCACTCACCCACTCACTCACCCACTCACTCGCCCACTCACTCACCCACTCACTCACCCACCCACTCACCCACCCACTCACCCACTCACTCACCCACTCACCCACTCACCCACTCAATCACTCACTCGCCCACTCACTCACTCACTCACTCACTGACCCACTCACTCACCCACTCACTCACTCACCCACTCACTCACCCACCTACTCACCCACCCACTCACCCACCCAACCACTCACCCACTCACTCACCCACTCACTCACCCACTCACTCACCCACCCACTCACCCACCCACTCACTCACCCACTCACTCACTCACCCACCCACCCACCCACCCACTCATTCACTCACTCACTCACTCACTCACTCACTCACCCACTCACCCACCCACCCACCCACTCGCCCACTCACTCACTCACTCACTCACTCACTCACTCACTCACTCACTCACTCACACACGCATGCACACGCATGCACACGCACACACACAGACACACACACGCGCGCACACGCAGACGCACGCAAAACTCAAATTACGGCCGAACGTTTTTTTTTTCTTCAAATTTCAGTTTTTATATTAAACGTTTTGTGATAACGGATAGAACTAAAATGATGCCGGTCGATAGCCAGGGTAGATAACCACAGGCAGTGGTGACATTTGTATACATCATATTGCAAAAAAGCCAACCTCAAGAAACTACTAGTTAGTCGTTTTTGGTGCCTGGTGGGTTATTTGCAGTGTTGTGCCCGTTACCGAAAATTACTAACGAAATAGCGTTATTCGTTACCTTAGAAAAAGCTAACGCGTTACAAAGCTCCGTTGCCATTTTGCAAAGGTAACGAAATACCGGTGTCGTTACTTGCTATGACTAGCTGATGTTACTTTTACGTTAGTTTGTCGTTACATTGTGTAACACTGTTAGTATATGACAACTGTTATTATGTATATATGACTGCACAGCGTCTCAACCACAAACGTCGCCAAAAGTTAGTCGAACCGTTCTTGAGAAACGGGAACTTGATGCATACGGTCGGTCTTCATGTACTTCAGCAAGGGCGAGTCGGGAAAGTGGGTCTCGGTCTTTCGTTTCTTTGAACGCACCTAGAACTCTGATACCTTCTGCGAATGGAAGAGCTGGCGGAAAATAAGAAAAAATAGGACTGATGGGAAGCACCCCTGTTGATTTCTAGCTATCAGTGATGTGGTACAACAAAATATTAAGTAAATAAATTCCATCACGAATTAGGGCAGAAAAAACTGTCTACATAAATCGCAAACTTAAACCAATATTAAATAGGCTTGTTTATATATAGCTGCCATGATTTATTTACCCACCTTCTGAAATATACAAGTAAACTCAATTAAGCTGCTTTCGAAGTGTTTTCGCTAGCTTACATTAATGAGCACTGTGAGATATAGCTGAAGAACTATGCGACTAACAAAACGATATCTAACAAAAGGTGCGTTATTTTGGCTAACAAAACGTAACCCTGACATTTTTGCGGAGAAAGATCAAGTGCCATTGAAGAATAACTTACCTTAATGTGCTTTTTCATATTAGAGTTCGACGTCCCGGAAGTGCTCAGCAGCTTGAGTTTCGGCATACAGACTAGACATGCAAACAGCAAATTGTCTGACTTCGTTTACCTCAGTTCAAACATAACATTTAGCCCGGGCCATGGCAACGGAGTTTCGGTGCCCGTTGCCATCTTGCACGAAAAGTGAGTGGGAGATGGCAGTAAAAGGGGCATTTATAACAAGCATTCTAAAACGGCCTTGCTGGTTACAGGCAGGCGTTACTGTTCGATACACGGACTGCTCACATATAACGCACCTCATAGCCACGCCTGTTTTAGTAACGGTCCGGTTTAGGCCACACAAGCAACAAAAAGAGGACACCGATTGCTTATTATAACCAATAATTATAACCAAAGAAGATTATGGGTGATTATAAACGAAGTATAGCGGCGGCAGTACTTAGGTTATAATCACATGCGTACTCGTAGTATCTTTACGTATGTATATGACTAAAAAAGGTGGCTAGCGTTTATAAGCTGTTTAACCTAAGTTTCTCCTTCACGGTCAAACACCTTTTTCTTTTTTTCACGCCGGCAGCAGCAGTAAAGTAAGGGCGAAGCAAACGAAAGACATTACTATCACTGCTACGAATCTGTCTCTCTAGAAGA